ATAAGTGTTTAGCCTCTGGTTCCAACTGTAATTGACAGAGTACAGTTCCATTCCCTCTGCTGCTGCTAAGTTGGGAATTGCAGCCACAGCAACTGACAGCTTTTTTTTTTTTCTGCGAGTCTGGAGTTGCTCTCTGGGAGTGATGTCCTCATCGGGATGGGAAGGAAAATGACGGCAGAAAGGCTCACCCTCACCCTGGCCCTGTGCTATGGAGGAACTCCAGGGATCTCTTCTAGGGGAAACAGTTACTTGAGGTGGGTGCTACTAATGAGAGCAGAAATCAGGAGAAAGTGCCGGGAGGAAATACCAAAATTCTGCCGTTTTGAAGAAAATGGGCTTTTCAATTAGAGAGCACAGAAGAGGGACAGCATTTATTTGAAAGAATTTCTGACAATGAACATATTTTTTAAAGTGCTATAAAACTGTGTCATTTACTGATGGAAACATCTTTTATATCACAGTCACAAGGGCCGAACTCTTGGTGAGTGCCACTCTTTATATAGTGATAATATACTGTGCTTTGATATGTGAGAGTAAAATAAAACAAACATGAGTTCAAATTGTCCCATTCAGGCCTGAGTTTTGACATGGGAAAAAATTATATAGCAGCTTCGGGCTTAGTAGCTGATTCCAGAATTTAACGCAGATGGCGACTAATTTTGGTGCCTCTTTAGTTGCAAAACTACCTATTTTGGAATATATTTAATTAAACAGGATTTAAAGGCTCCTCTTGTTGTGAACACCTTGGCTTTTTTGTCATCTGTCAGCACTGCGATGTGCACAGTAACTGAAAGGTTCTGAGGCATGAGCTCTTTAGGTGGTTTTGATGTGCACTTGCTTTTCTGGAGGATGTTTAAACAAAGCAGTGCTGCCATTTCTACAGTTTCATTCAGTGCTGCTTGCTTGGAACCTGCTTCTATTGCCTTTGTAATAAAGGATACAAATAATACTCAAAAAGCCACAACGCTCTTAGTTATTAATACATACATATATCACTTCCTTTCATCACAGAAATATACCTATCGGACCTCACTGGTCATTTAATCTGTTCTCTGAAGAAGCAGAATTTCACTTTTTAAATATGTTTCTGCTTCAAATAATCTTGCACTACTAAGGTGCAAACTGCAGCTTTAAAGTACTGGCTGCTAACCCGTCTTCTGTTTGCTGCTCTATCAGGACTCTTCCAAAAACAAAACTGTGTTATTCTACAGCTGCAATGAACAAAATAAATGCAACTGATAATCTGTTTCTGCTATACTTTTCCAGAGCTTTGGTTCTTAGGTAGCCTAGTGGAGCTGGGAGAGAAAGAAAAGAAGAAATACAAAATTGCAGCCGGAAAAGACGTTAAGTCCAGATTCCTCTTTGCAGGCTTTAAAAAAGCAAACTAGCAATTCATGATCACAAAATAAAATATGCACATTTAAACAAGCTGCAGGGGAAAGGAGAGTTTAATCCAGTGAAATTGTGTTTGAAAGCTATTTCATACCCCTAGGAATAAAATCTGAATAGCAATTCTGCTTTGCTCCCACCCTTCTTCCACCCTTCTGTTAATATATTACCATTTGTTATGGAATCGTTACAAGACTTCTACCCCAGAGGTGGCTGCATTTCGTTGAAGGATAAAGTACTTTCTGGGCCTGGGTCTCTTCTTACTCGCAGGAGCAGACAGTGCTCATTGCAACTGCACTGATGCTGCTAGTCAAACGATTTTTGATTTGCACCTGAGCAAGAGAAGAATTAGGCCCAGAGTTTGTAAAGCCCTTTTGATTCATCTAGGTGAAAGCTACAATACAAATGGGTTGTTTATTGTAAACACAAGTATGATGCTAAAGCAGGCACTGATATAAAGAGCTGTAACTATCTGCTTCAAGAATTACTGAAATGGAAATGACGATCTCAAAAAGGAATGACAATTCGGCCCTGGAAAGATCAAAATGCATTTGACATAGTTTCGGTGTTGATGTGAAATAAAGTGTCTTTAAAAGTGTAATTTGACATCAAAAATCCCCATCATCAAACATAAATAGTGCCCCATTTATCCCATTACGCTACCTTGTTTCATTACAATGGTTTGTAATATATTTCTTAGGAATACAAGGCTTAAAATTAATAATAGAAAAGGACAAAATTGCCATGTATATTTCTCTAGATAGATTTTCATCTAGCAGCAGGACTTCACTTTTGATTCACTCACTGGTTCTCTCTAACCTTTACATTATTCATTAATCAAACTAGAAACCTGCTTTCAAAGTCAGTGCATGGTAGTAATTATTTACAGTTGTGCATAGTATTTAATTTTAAGCAATGACAAAAGCAGGCATGTCCAGAATCATAAGGCTTATCATTTTTCTTCCATTGGAGGTGAACTATCTAAAGAAGCTAAAAGTTGCAAACTTCTCTTCAATATCTCTGCTGCCATCAAGACAAAACGCAGTGCAACTGATACCTTTGAACTTGTACAACTAAAAATAAATAAAAGTGAAAATTAAGTAATATATAATGCATTAACTCCTTTAAATTAAAGGGATAAGGAGTTTGCTATCAGCCTTGATGAGCGATGCATTTCTTATTGCACAGTCTGTCTACTGTCACTTTGAGGTATTTTTCACCATACAAAACAGAACCTCAGCACTATCCCTGAAAATGAAAGTCAGTTTTAAGAACTATATACAACAGGCACGTCTGCTCTTTGAAACCCCCCTACCCACCACAAGCACACAAATACGACTTCAAAGCACGAGAACTATTGCAAATGTATAAACCTACTTCAAATCAGTTATGCTGGATGAAACTGGACTGCATTTGGAGTATTTTGCTCACCTGAAACAACATTGATCTGAGGACAAATATAATCAAAGAAATGCATCACTAAAGAACAATGCACATTTTATAATGAGAGCAAGAAAGCAGAGATGTTATTTTGGTCATTCAGATTTCTACCTCATCAGGAAGATTCTCAAAAATACTGTAGCGTCCTGGATAAAAACATCTCTTACTGTATTCTCAGCAGGGAAATCCCGGGAAACAACAGCATGGGCTTTGCTCGCAAAAATTTACTTACTCTGTAGCCTATGTTTCTAAAATAGAACAGGGTGCCCCTTCTACAAAAAGATACTACACACATTGCAAGTGAAAATCCTACTTTGAAAACAGAATAAAATGAAGCCTCATACTCCTGACAGAGAGAAAAAAGGAGCAGTTCTAGCACTGTCACTGTGATGATCAGCATCCATGAAAAAAAAGCTATTTATCCTGCAACTTGAAAACGTTAATGCCTTATTCAAATAGAACCTTTTTGTGAATAAAACAATAATAGCAACTCATCAGAGAGTTCTTCTGAATACATCTATATATATACACATTTCTAGCTTAACTATTATTTATGGTTAAAGGGGAGCTTTGGTTGCCAAGCATCATACCAGCAACCTGCATAGGTACATTCATTGGACACGTCCCAAAAGACTCTGCCTGCATAGCATTGTCCTACACCTATATGAATACAGTGAAATATGTAAGTTTATAAAAGTTATGCATGTCCCACTTTCTGTGAAATAACATTTACCTGTGAATGAATCCCAAGCACTACTTTTCAAAGTTTATTCAAGTATGCCACTAAACTTGCCCGTACATTTTGTCCCACATATAATATGCTACTCCTAGAAAACATTAAGAAGGGCCAGGAAAATCTGTAAACCATTTTTAAACTAAAAACATAAAATATTAGTTTTCTTTAGAGAACTAATCCGATGAAGGACACAAAGAAAAAAACGAAAGGAAAAAACCCGCCCACATTAAAAGCCAAACAAGATAATAATTGTGCATGTCTGGCTAAGAGAATCTAGAGGGCAAGCCTTACGTCATTGGCACTTGGGTTACCATGGTGAGTGATTTATTGATATATATCAAGAATGAATAGATCAAAGGCAGCAAGATGACAGGTGATCAATCAAATGTCAAATCAAAGCTGGCAATCAACTGGAAAGCTGATTTTTCAGTGGGTGGGTCTGGCAGAAGAAAAATGAACTTCCATATTGCGCTTCCCAGAAACAAAACCCCACCACACTATTAAAAAAAAATAAAAAGCAATTAAGCAGCCTGAAAGAAAACTCTTTGAAAAGATTTACTATACAGGCTCACTCATCTGTTTCTTTTCCTTGGCCCCCAAAAGAAAAAGAACACCCTACAAACGACAAAACAAAACACTTCGAAAGTTGCAAACTATTTTCTTCTTTAAAAAAAAAAATAATAAAAAATTGCAAAACCACTTGGCATGTGGAAACACATAAACTCGGCTACAAAACAAAAGAAGGATTTGATTTGAAAACGTGGATTGTCTTCTAACAGTCAGAACGTTTCATTTTATTTCCTGTTGCAATTTTCACCACTGATGATCAAAGGCTGAACTTCCCCACCGGGTTCATCAGCAGAGACAGTCCCTGTACTATTTCAGGCGTACACACACACACACACACACACACACACACACACACACCCGGCCAGCATTGCCACCAGAAACACGGCGGAATAAAAGATAAAACACACCGACCCACTTCGCGAAACACACGTTTTAAAGACAAAAACCACCAGGAAGGAAGGAGGGAGGGGGGGGGAATCAGAAATGGGAAAAAAAAATTACTAAAGCGGGAAGCAAATGGGAAGCTGCTTTCGGTTCGGTGAGGGAAAGGGGCCGGGGGAGAAGGGGAGACGAGAGGAAGAAAGTTGGGGGGAAAAGTTTCGCCCGGGCAGGACGGGGGCTCGGAGCGGGAGCAGCGGGGAGCGAGCGCGGCGGCAGCGGCGGGAGGGTGGAAGGGGACAACCCGTGTCAGAGTCAAGATCTTGGCAATAAGGACTGAAACTGGCTCCGGAAGGGGGAGGGGGGATAAATAAATAAAGATCCAGCCCGGAAAAGCAAGGGTGACCCTAAATAATAATAAAGATGGGGGGTAGGATTGGAAGGAGTGGAGAGACAGAGGCTGTGTAAGTGGATGGCTTCTCCTTACCTGCAGCCCGTTTGGGTGCTTGCTGTTTCCTCCTTGGCATCGCTCTACTTTCTCCGATCTCACTTCTGTCCCCAGATCCGAGAGCCCTGAGTCGCTCCTGAGTCGTGTTTCTCTGCCTCTGCCTCTCAGCTGCTTTTCCCC